GGCCAAAGTTATAAGGTGTTTCTCTCTAATTTCTTCTCACATATCTAACTTAATGAATTATTTTGTTTTATTGAAATATAAATAAAATTTCAACAATTGAAAATAAATAAAACTCATGAGGGAAAGAATGTGCTGTGTGACAGCCCGGGTTCTTGCCACTTCTGTACAAATAATATTTACCAAGCCTTTTCTTGAAGCACAATAACCTTTTAGGCTTTTATCTACCTGGATTCTAATCCTGGAGCATGGCTTTTTAAACGGTATTCGACATTGATATCACTATCCCAGACAGATCACTTACTGGTGGCACCTAAACATGATGGGATGCTGGAATGCTCCTTACAAGTGAAGATGGTGGGACTTCGTCTCTCGCACTTGGGTCATGTTATCAGGAGGGACCAGTCCCTGAAGAAGGACATCATGCTTAGAAAGCAGAGCATCAGCAAAAAGAGGAAGGCCCTATACGAAATGGATTGACACAGTGACTGCAGCAATGGGCTCACGCATGGCGATGATTTTGACAGTGGGGCAAGATTGAGCAACGTTCCATTCTGCTGAACATGGGGTTGCTGCGAGTCAGAACTGACTCAATGACCCCTATTAACAACAAGTATGATGGAAGTAGGAATCAAGGCAATCAGGTTTTCACTTACTCTTGCTGCCTAGTTATTCTCGTTATCAGCAAAAGGTGGTTTAAACAGTCTTCCCTCCTTCTTGCAGGGATAATAATACCTGCTTAAATATTATTCTTACTGAAGTTAATGCATTGCTCTCTTTATTGCCCTCTTGAAGGCCTCTTTGATCTCCTTGTTCCTCAGACTATAGATCAGAGGGTTAAACATGGGGATGATAATGACATAGAACATTGACAACACCTTGTTCTGCTTCAAGGAGTGACGAGAGCTGGGACGCATGTACACAGAGAGGACCGTACCAAAAAAAAGTGTCACAGCTGCCAAGTGGGAGGCACAGGTATTGAAGGCCTTGGCACTACCTTTGCCTGAGGATATCTTCAAGATGGAAGCTGCAATGAAACCATATGACAAGAGGATAACAAGAAAAGAACCAAACACAATAAAAATAGCTACCAGAAGAAGAGACATTTGGCAGATGAAGGGATCAGAGCAAGACAAGGTAATGATCTGAGGCACGTCACAGAAGAAATGTTGAATGATGTTTGGTCCACAGTAGGAAAGATGAAAGCAAGAGACTGTTTGAGATAAACTACTAAGAAAACCACTCACATAGGCCCCAGCAACCATCTTCCCACAGAGGCTAGGAGCCATGATGGCTGAGTACTGCAGAGGGCTGCCAATGGCAACATATCGGTCATAGGCCATGGTGGCCAAGAGGCAGCACTCAGTCAGACCCAACGAGGCCACAATAAAATACTGAGTGGCACAGGCAAGGAAGGATATCGTTTTTTCATCTTTTAAGAAGTCTGAAAGCAGCCTTGGGCTGATGGAAGAAGAATAGCAGATGTCAATAAATGACAGGAAACTTAGAAAAAAGTACATGGGTGTGTGTAGGTGGGAGTCCATCCTGATTAGGAAGATGAGAACCAGGTTCCAGATGAGAGTAACAAAGTAGATCCCTAGGAATACTGGAAAGAGGATGAGCTGCAGCTCTTTTTCATCTGAGAGACCCAGGAGAACAAATGTGGTCACAAAGGAGTGGTTTCCATTCCAATCCATTGTCTCACTTGCTGCCATCTGCTGAACAAAAGATAAGGGAAGGAAATGGCTTTATTCCCCACCCCAACCCCCAAAAAAGAAAAAGAAACATTTTATTTTCAGTCATGAGGTTGGTTAATACACAACCTTAAATCACCCATGTTGAGTTACTCTGTATCTTCCATGTACAATCACCAATGTAAGCTAAAAAATCCTTTTGGACATTTATTGTCATTGGGTTTTGGGAGAAAGGCCAGTAAGCGGTCGCCATTAGTCCATTATATCCTAAACTATCTTAATATCATGTTTTCCATGCCAAAGTTTGTAAATATGTGAGGCTTTGCAGTAAGCAAAGTAGGAGAACAGTGGCGGAGCAGAAAGATTCTGGTCAGGCATGGCTTTGTTATTAACTGAATGCCTGGAGATGCTAATATGTGAAATATGTCAGGTGAAGAGGCCACAGTAGGCATTTTTTTTAAAAATCTCCTTAAGAATAGTACTCAGTTAACTTAAAATCAGGAAGTATTGACAATTCCGCTTTCATAATGTAGCAGAATGGTGGGAAGAGTCATTCACTAAGAAGCAGAAGCCTGGAAATGGATGTGATGATTCAATGAACTTAATGACTTCAGGAAGACAAGGTTGGAAGACTCATGAGGCACCTTTTTTTTTTCAGGCATAGCTTTTTCTTTCCTCATATCAGAAATACTTGAGAGTTAGATTGTCTAGGATAGGAATTAATGATTTCTTTGTGTCTCTTTGAAAATCTGATGGCCACTCTCAACCTTCTACTCAGCAAAATGCAACCACTTACCACCTTTGCATACGGTTTTCTTGGATTTCTGGTTACTCTGCAAGTCTAGTGATGGTTGCCAGGATAGAGAATTCTCCTCCAGGGGAAAATGACTTGGAACAATGTAAGGGTAAAGTTTGGGCAATGGACATGGTATCAGGAACCCGG